GAAGGAAGGAAGGAAGGAAGGAAGGAAGGAAGGAAGGAAGGAAGGAAAAGAGGGAGGGAGGGAGGAAGGATACAGAATCAAAATGAACCAATTTCAAAAGAGAAATTTAATAGGTCATTAATGAACTGTCACATAAAAAGTAACCAGAACCAGAAAGAGTCAAAGAAAAAATGCTCCCAGTATTACATAGATCAATTGATCTGGTTTTGTATATATGTGCATACATATATATTCACATACACACAGTGGTTCTGACCCCCAACCTATGAAAGGATAAGAAAACGAACTACAGGTCAACATAATAAATGAACATGGATATAAAAATAGAGCAATAGGAGACATTGCCAGAATCTACTCATCTGTAAAATGAGGGGTTTGAATTGGAGGACTTATAAGGTCCTGCCCAATACTGTAGGATCCTATGGTCTCTGCCCTCAAGGAGCTTATGATGTCCAAAGAGATCCTTCTATAGGCCATTGATAGGTGGAGTTGAAACCAGTCCAAATCTGGAAACTGTCAAGGCAGTAACAAATACATTGGGTAAACAATATCCCTGGAGACAGAGGTGTAGCTGGGTTTGGCTGTAAGTGAATCAGGGCATACCACATAAAAGGTGTTACCTTTCTGAGATGGACAATTAACCTAGTATAAAAAGCCCAGCATCCCAGATGGTTGGTACCCTGAAAACTGCTTCACTTCACATCCTCTTTGCTTCTTCATTGAACTGGGTAAGTTGGTCTAGATAATCTATCTAAGATTATAGACCTTGATAGGTACTAAGGAGTAAATCTAGAAATCAGCACGGACCAGCGAAGAGAGAATTTAGACAGAAAACTTAGGCTTTAATCTCAACTCTATCATTTCATAGCTAGATGACATTTGGCAAATCACCTAAACCCTGTGAGCCTCAGTTTCCTCATTTATAAAAAAGAAGGGGATTGAACTAAATCATCTCTAAGGTCCCTTATTGTTCTGATATGCTGCAATGCTGTGATATTATAACATGCTTGAGTACAAGGAGCCCTTGGAAGCTTTGCTGTTCATGTATCTTTAAGGCCAGTTGATACTGATGAAAGTTTGTCTCTATCTTGAGGAAAAATGAAGATGGAAGTTTGGTTCTTCTAAGATTTCTGAGTGCTCTGCATTGCTAGAATATTTAGTTTAAATAAGTTTAGGAGATGAGGGGGAAATAATAGGGGTTATTTTCTAATACGTCAGTTCTTTAAGTATTGTCTCCCCAATTGGACTGTAAGTTCCTTGAGGGCAGAGATTGTCTTTTGCTTTTTTTTGTATTCCCAGTGCTTAGCACAGTACCCAGCACATGGTAGGCATATAATAAATTTTTTATTGCTGTTCATCCTTCTTTCTTTTATTTTATTTTTTTAAATTTTTATTTATTACTTTTTTTTAGCTAGGCAATGGGGTTAAGTGACTTGCCCAGGGTCACACAGCTAGTAAGTGTTATATGTCTGAGGCCGGATTTGAACTCAGGTCCTCCTGAATCCGGGGTCGGTGTTCTATCCACTGCACCACCTAGCTGCCCACTCATCCTTCTTTCTTGAAGAGGACCAATGACATCATGTCTTGACTTGAGCATGAATTGGATTTGAGTGAGGCAGAGAGCCTTGCTTAGTTATCAGCCTCGATTGATTGATTTAAGTATAGATATTTCCTATTAACCACCACTCAGCTTCCTTTGATTGGTGCCATTCCACTTTCATTTCTTCTTGCTAAATGTCCAAGAAAACTCCAGGGTTTCTTCCTGATGGTGGGTGAGTAAGAGTGTTTAGGTTAAGTATGGAAATAAGGTAGTGTCTAAGACCTGATCCATGGCCATCTTCTCTGAATAATTTCCTCTTGGTGAGTTTCTGGTTTTATCTACTTTCCCTGGCTTAAACACCCTGTAAGATCTAGGTGTTAGTCAGTGGTCCAAGACCTCTAGAGGAGACAGAGATTCTTCAGCACCTTGTGTACTGAAGCCACCTGAGACAATGGTTAAGAAGACCAAAATTTCATTGGCTCTAGATTGAACCTGGATTAGAGATTGGGAAACTCGGCTTTCACTTTTGTTTTCACTGGCTTTCTGTTTTACCTTGGATAAGGCATTTAGTTTTGGTGTGTTAAAGGGGCTCTGCCCTCTTCTCCCTAACTGTGTAAAGGAGAAGAAAAAAAGATATAAAATGTTTTTACCATTCTTTTTATTGATGAGGGTTACTGATGGTAAAGAACCTTTAGTTAATACCACATGAGGATCAGTTAAAGGGACTAAGGTTGCTTAGCTTAGGGAAAAGAGAAGATGGGGGCAGGGGTGAGATTAACTATAGGCTGTTTTAAAAAATTAGAAGAGCTGTCTCATTTTAAAAAAAATTAGACTTATTTTCTTTCAGTCCAAAAGTAGAGCCTGAAGAAATGGGTAGAAATTTAGGAGGCAAATTTATCCTTGATGAAAAGATAAACTTCCTAACAATTAGGGAATTCCAAAGTGGAAAGGGATTCCCCAAAAGGTAACAAGATTTCTTTGATTGGAGGTCTTCAAGGAAAGGCTAGATGATGACTTGTCAGGTATGCTTTAGAGCAAACTCTCCTTCAGGTATGGGTTGGCCTAGATGGTCACCGAGGTCCCTTCCAACTCTGATATTCTATGATTGTGTCATAAAAAAATAAGATGTTGAAAGGAAAGAAGAGGAATGACAGAAATGTGTATTTTTTTTCTATTCAGGTTCGCATAAACTTGCACAAAAGATGTCTAGCCTCATGCAATGTATTACCCATGTCATTGACATTTTCTACCAATATGCCAAAGAGGAAGGGGAGTGTGACAAACTAAGCAAAAAGGAACTGAAGAAACTTTTAGAAGAAGAGTTTTACCCAGTTATAAAGGTAAGAGATGCATGCCAACATCAAAGGTCTACATAGTCATGTTTTAGGGAGTTTTGTTTTTTGTTTTTTTGGTGTTTCGAGAAGGGACTGTGATTTCATTGGAATAGAGCAGAGGTGTCGAGACCCACAGGCATAGGGCACAAATTCCATGACTTTCCAGAACCAGATTCATATGTAATTGGAAATTATTTAACAAAACAAATAAAAATACAATGTAGAAAATGTTAATTTGTCTTTTTCTAAGTCAATAAGTAGCTAGCAGGTATCTGTTTCTATTTGAGAGTTTACTACCACTGATTAAAAGAATTCCTAGAGAGGAAATACCAGATAAACCAACATAGGTCTGCACCTGCTTTGCAACTTAGGGTCTTAGAAAGTCTCAGAGTTAGGGGTGAAGTTGTTATCTTGATATACAACCTCAGGATCTGAAAAGTAACAAATAAAAAATCCATATACCTGATAACCCATTTGTAAGTCCTCTAGATAGAATTCCCTGGAATTCTACCTGGAAGGAGTAAAGGATCAACAAATGTTTGTGTAACTGAATTAATAGAACTGGACCAAAACCAGTAGAATTGAATCAATGAATTTCTTATTGGACTAAAGAGAGTCAATGGTGGGGGAAAAAAATGGGAAGAGGACTAAATTCATTTTCAGTGGCACCTAATATTCTCTCTGTGACAGCTAGGTAGTGCAGTGGATAGAGTGCTGGTCCTGACATTAGGAAGACCTGAGTTCAAATCTACATACTTACTAGTTATGTGACCCTGGGCAAGTCAGTTAACCTTTGTTTGCCTCAGTTCCTCAATTGTAAAATGGGGACAACTGGGGAAGACAAACCACTCCAGTGTCTTTGCCAAGAAAGCTCCACAGGGGTCACAAAGGATTGGACACAATTGAATGACTCAACAACAACAAAATATTCTCTCTGTCCTTCTTCATTACATAATTTGAAACTCCTACCTCCAACTTAGGCATAGATATCCAGTGTCATCACTATATCTCTGGTTCCTTCTAACATTAATTAATTTGAACATTAATTTATATCAATAAGCTACCTCTCCCTAAAGAAGAAATCTCTCCTAGAAAGAGCAATCATTACAGATAGGGAGAAGTAAAAAGGAACATCAAAAGTTTGTATTCAATTACAAGAAGGACCCCCATTGATCAAGTCCAGAATATTCAATTATAATTTGGTCAATTTAATACTTGATTCATTTTAATGAAAATGTAGCAACTACCTTACATTCACAATCATCTGCAGCTACTCATACTCATCCCTCAGTAACCTCTCTGTGTATTGCTATTCTTTGTGAACCTTCTTCTTTTTCTTCTTGGTCTCTATGGACATCAGTTGCACAATATTAGCCTACATCAGCCTGGAGATATTCCCAGTTGGATCCCAGCTAGGTATAATAAGTACCCATATTTGCATAATGTATGATTTACTCTTCCTGTATTCTTTTCTCTGATACAGAAACCAAAGAATTCTCAAGTTGTGGAAGCTATCATGCATATCCTGGACCAAGACCGTGACAATCAAGTGGACTTTGCTGAGTTTCTTCTAATGTTAGTCAATCTGGCTCTGTCTTTCAATAAGACTATCAGCAAAAAGTATTGTGAAGCATCAGGGTCAAAGCACAAATTCCAAGATCACCATAACCAAGAAGAGCAGAGTGAGACAGAGGAAGAAAAAGATGGTTCTGGTTCTGATCAATCAAATGCAGAAGCAGAAGAACTTCAATACAGTTCTAGGCATTCACAGGAGAAAAAAAAGCATAGGCACCACTCTCGGTCCAGTTCTCCTTGGAAGAAAAGGAGAAGTAGCTCACCAAACTCAGAACACAGAGAAGACTCTAGGAAAAGACACCATAACTCAAGGAAGAGTGAGAAAGAGAGAAATGGGCTCAGCTCAAGAAAGCAGGGGGGAAAGAGACACAAGTCAAGTACAGGCACTGATCATCATAGATCCAATGCAGATGGTCAGTCATCTAGACAGGAGAGAAAGGGGTCTAGTTCAGATGGTCATTGTGGGGAGAGTGAGAATCAACAAACAGGCTCAACACACAGGAATTCAAAAAGCAGTAAATCAAAAAAGTCAAAGAAACAAGATAAGGGAACAATTGGTCACCACACATCAGGGAGTGAATCTGAAAGGCAAGAAGACGTTTCCAGACGGTCAACAAGAAGCAGGCAACAAAGGCAAGGACAAAGTCATGGACAGTCAAGATCCAGCAAGGATGGGAAGTTGGGTGACAGCCATAGCCATTCAAGTAACAGTGAAGAACAATCAAGAGACAGCCCTAGACACTCATCATCTAGTCACAATCAATCCTCATCCACTTATGGAAGACATGGATCAACTGCAAGAAGAAGAGAAGCAAGTGATAGTCAGGCAAGTGACAGTGAAGGACAATCAAGAGACCACTCTAGAGACTCAATTTCTGGTCATAGATGGTCTTCTTCTACACACTCAGGGTCCCATTCTAGCCCCAAAAGGGTTTCCAGTTGTGATCAATTCAGTGATAGTGAAGGTCAATCAGGAGATAGCTCTAGACAGTCCAGATCTGGTCATCAATGGTTTTCATCCTCTCAGGGCTCTAGTACAAGAGGAAGAAAGGGATCCACTTCCAGTCAGACAAGTGATAGTGAAGGACAAACAAGAGACCATTCCAGAGATTCAGTCTCTCATCACGGACAGGCTGCATCCACGGATTCAGAGTCTAGGTCAAGCCAAAGACAGGGATCCAGTCATGGTTCATCCAGTCATAGGAAAAGGCAATCAGGAGACAGCTCTAGACAGTCAGGATCTGATCATCAATATACTTCATCACAGGAAGGACAGTCTAGTTCAAGGACAAGAGGAAGCCAAAGATCCATGCATGGACAGGTAGGAGATACAACTGAGCACTCAGGATCTGGTCACAGAGAGCCTAGTGACACCAGGACATTGGTAAGACAGGGATCCAGTCATGGTTCATCCAGCCATAATAAAAGGCAATCAAGAGAAAGCTCTAGAGAGTCAGGATCTGGTCATCAACAGTCCTCATCCAGTCAGGGACATCATGGCTCTAGGACAAGAGGAAGACAGGGATCTATTTCTAGCCAGGTGAGTGACAATGAAGAACAAACAAGAGACCACTCCAGAGACTCAGTCTCTGGTCATGGACAGTCTTCATCTAAATACTCAGAATCCCATTTAGCTAGAAGACAGGGATCCAGTCATGGTTCATCCAATCATAATGAAGGGCAATCAGGAGACAGATATAGACATTCAGGACTTGGTCATCAACAGTCCTCATCCAGTCAGGGACAACCTGAGTCAAGGACGACAGGAAGACATCAATCCAGTGACAGCCATAGAGTCTCTGGTGCCTCTCAGGAGCATTCACTAAGTAATGGACAACTGAGATATGGCTCAAGTTACAGTTGGAAACATGGTAGCTATGGGAATACAGACTATGACTATGGACAGACTGGTTATGGTCACTCTGGAGACAGTAGGACCAATAGTAGGAATTCTAGTCCTCAGCGGCCAGACCAAATGACACTCATTAGGCATGGGCATTCATGGTTCAGACATGATTATCCTGATTTCAGCATGAGTACAGGAAGTCATGGGCATTCTGGGGCAAGCCATGAACAGTCAGGTGATAATATACATCATGTTGGACCCAGCACCATTAGAAAGCAGAGATCAAACTCTGGCCATTTCAGTGACAAGGAAGGACAATCAAGTAGCCAACAATCAGTATCCTCTCCTAAACAGTCTGGGTCTGGTCGTAGACAATCAATACCCAACCACAGAAAATCAGGGTCCAGAACAAGTAGAACAAGAAGGGGATCTGATCCTGGACAGTCAAGAGATAGCCAGGCCAGAAGTCCAGGGAGACAAGAATCAAGTCATCATCAGTCAGGAGATGGTTCTACTGTGGGTAGAGGAAAGCCAGAATCCAGTCAGGGACACTCAGAGACAAGCCACAGGCAGTCAGGTGACACTCGGGATCACTCTGGGTCCCAAACATCTAGAAGACATGGATCTAGCCATGACCAATCAAGAGATAGCTCTAGACAGTCAGGATCTAGTCATGGACAGATAGGTCATGAGCAGTACAGTAACAGATTTGGTCACTCAGAATCTGGCTATGATAAGGCAGAGTACAGGACACACAAAACACACAGATCTGGTTCTAATCAATCTGGTGATAGTTCTGGTCAGACAGCAATAAGAAAGCATGGGCATAGAAATCCATCGGGTACTAGAGTCACAGAGGGTACTAGCAAGAACAGATCAGAGTACAACTCCAGTGTAACAGGGGAAAGTGGGAGACACAGACAAGATGTTGTTGGTCTTGGAGATCAAGAGGTAATTAATTTAAAGGAAAGAACTTACTCAGGCCTCTGCTACCCCTGTAACAGTACTCCCCTCTATGCTTATGTCCAAGAGCAAAGGAATTATTACTACCACTAAAATACAAGTAGAAGACCAAGTAACTGAAATATCAAGTGAAGAAAAAAAAAAAGATTTAACTAAGTTACTATTTGTGATATTTCTAGGAATAGGGTTTTTTGTTCTTTAAACAGAGAATCCTACTCCATCTTTTCTATTTGCTGTTGGGTTTTGGTTTTTAATTGAAACTTCTACTTATCAGTGGTGAGTGTTTTTGTTCCTTGGTTATAAATTGGTGAACAGAAGAAATTAATAAAATGAGGAGCTAACTATGGGACAGGATTTATTTGGAACAATATTAGAAATCAATTTGGGACCCTGGGGAATGTATAATTGATTTTTTCTGAATCTGAGAACTCAATTTTTGTAGCTTCTTTGTGTATTTTAATTAGCATCTGAAAGCTGATCACTCTTCTTCAAGGAGTTAAGTGTGAATATATTACTATGGACCTGGAAGCCAAAGTTACTGTAGGCAGGGCTGCAGATCAGCATTTTATTTGCTCATCATGGTCACCAAACACTTATAACATCTTTGATACTCAAACTGAAAATCTTCATGAGAAATTGGTGCTATGCCAATCTCTCTAGCCAATGCACAAGGAAGTTATCTTTGAAGAATGAAGACTAACCTATTTTTATCCAACAGAAATATCAGCACTAACTTGACCTTAAAATAAAGACACTCCCTCAGAAATTATTCTAGGTTGGAAAACAATGGAAAGAGTACGACCTAAGGCTGATCTGCATTACACTTGCCTTTCCAATCAGAAGAATATCAACAAAAAGGAGAAAAAAGAGAAGATGTACATTAGTACTGTAGGGCCCTTATTAATGGATTGATTCATTGTAATAACCTTGAGATTATTAATATTCCCTCAAATCAGTAGATTTCATTAAAATATTGATTGATTGTCATAACCTTGAGATTACTGATATTCCCTCAAATCAGATTTTATTAAAATTGAAAATAAACAAATAGTAATTAAATACTGTTGTTGAATGATATAACAAAATAAGAGATTAAAAATTCAAGTTATAAAAATCAGTTAAAAGGAGGAGAAATCATTCCTCTTTCCAAATGCCATGATATACTTAGAAAACCAAAAGATTCAGCACAGAAAAAAACAGGAATAATTAATAGCTTTAGTTAAATGGTAGGAGGAAAAATAAATCCATAAAAATCATCAGCATTCATATACATTATTAACAAAATTCAAGAAGAATCAGTAATAAGAGAAATTACATTCAAAATAAGTACAAAATGGATAATCTATCTATCAGTTATTCTACCAATACATATGCAAGATTTATATAAACAAAATTTCTAAGACTCTTTTCACATATAAAAGAAGATATAAATAGATCAAGAGATAGTCAGTGTTCAAGATTGTACTATTCTGAAGAAAAAATAATAAAAGTCATAATACTATCTAGATGAATTTTCAGGTTCAGTTCTATGGCAATAAATTTCCAAGGGCACACTTTGTAAAACTGGACCAAGCAATGATAAAATTTCATTTTAAGAGTTAAAAAGTGATCTAGGAACTCAAGGGAAATATTGGAGGAAATAAAGTAGGAAAGAAGAAGACAGAAAATTACCAGACCTCAAATTGCCTCGGGAATTTCCATCATTTGAGGGTTTAATTTGGAGACAGAATGCTTCCAAAAAGACTATGATATACAAAACAGTACTTAATCATCAATAAATCATTTCTCATAGAAACAAAAAGGAGATGGGTGGGATTAGGCAGGGTTGTATCAAGATGGCTAAGTCAAGTGCAAGTCAGAAAGAAAATGTATCCCTGCCATAGATGAGGACTGATCTTTCTATACATTTAGAAGCTTGAAAGAGAGAAGGGTTAATAGGACAGGAGAGAACAGACACGGTGCAAGATTACTCCACCAGCCTTCAAGGCCACATGTGGCCTTCTAGTTGGTACAGCCTTCTCACTGAGTCCAAATTTTACTGAACAAATTCTTTTATTAAGGAGATTTGTTCTGTGAAGTTTGGATTCAGTCAAAGGGCCGCACTTGAGGATCTAGAGGGCCACATGTGGCCTTGAGACCGCAGGTTCCCCACCCCAGCATCCAGACTCCATAAGTTCATTTTACGGTAAGAATGAGGATAAAGCCTCTCCCCAATAATAACAGCTTACATTTCATAGAATTTAGATCTTGAAGGAAGCTTGGATATCATTCAATGCCACTTATTTTCTGTTCCTACTTTACTTTGATGGCCACAAGCAGGTGAGCATACTTTACCAGTGACAATGAAATTAACACTATTAGAAGCCAAAATGTCAGAGTAGCAGGAAGAAATGCAGTGACATCCTCTCCCCATTCCCACCCACAGCTCCTCCAAACAGATACAGGAAATGCATCATACTGAATCCTGATAAGGAAATCCAAGAAAAATCCACAGTACATCATTTTTCTAGTCTGGGTCAGCATCAAGAGGCAGAGAGGTCTGTGGACATTGAGGAAGGAGTCTGGGAGGGAGTACCTCTATTAGCACTCCAGAACCTAGGGAGAGTTTGTACAATGGAGCAAGAGGACTTCCCAGACCCATACTGGGGCACTTCCATAAGAAGAGGTGTCAACTGGTAGCTTTGATGTCCACTACCAGTTCTAGGTCACAGAACCAGGGTGGGCTGAGGAGGGGACCTGAACCTAGGGGAACCAGGATAAGGAGTGCTTGTACACCCTAGACTATGTACTAAGAGAGGAGCAAGTTCAGAAGCAAGTAGTAACTGTGAGCAGTTCACAGAGCAGAGCAGAGTCACAGCCTACTGAGTATCTCAGGGCAGAAATTCCAGACCAAAGAGAAGCCCACAGTTCTGTTACTCAGAACCAGCACAACTTCCTAGCCAGCTAATAGAAGCAGAATCTACAAGCAGTCCACTGCTGCTCAGACCCAAACCCAGGTCAGGAACTTTCAGAGCTCAGACCAGGAAGGCAATGATCAGGCTTTGCCATGGATCAGTCCACTTTGGAAGCACTAAAAGCTTGCAGGTATCTGGCCTGAGCTATCACAGAGATCCTGAAATAGTACAACACTCAACACCCAAGAAAGCAGCAAGAGGACCGACTAAGACCTTCCCTACAGAAGCGTGCAGAGCCTGGCTCTGACATCAAGTCAAAAGCCAAGAAATTGGCTTGAAAAATGAGCAAAGAGAGGGGGTGGAGGGAAAGCAGTGACTTGCTTGAGTTCTACCCCCAAACCCCTCCAAATACCCATAAAAATGGCTCTAAACAAATTCTAAAACAGCAGAACCCACAAAAAGACAGAGTGAAACAAAGGCCTCAGAGGACTGAATCACGGACAGCTGAGGTGGTTTCCAGACTTCTCAACCCATGAACACCAAAGACAACTGGGAAGGTCAGTGGGAAAAGTCTGGGTCTGCCATGAGAAAGGAGCTAGATCTCAGTCGCAAGTCTGGAGCCTGGCCCGGGGCCACGGCTGTTTGCTGAGCTTCCAGCCCACAGACTGAGAGGGAATTGAGTGGCTGATCGGGGTGGGGATTGCAGGGATCTCTTTGCCAGTGCTGAGGCAGGAATCTTGCTTTACCTGTGCTTGGATCTGGGTCACAGCTCTGAGGGGCAATCCTGGGGAGAGGAGGAATGCTGGTGTGGTGGAGCTTGTGGCAGTGGAGAAGAAACACCTCACCCCTTATCATACCACCTTGGAAGAAATGAAAATTTTCAGATACCTAGAAGTACCTCTGAAAACAGCTGCACAAACCCCCAAAGCTTGGGACAGTACATTCTCCACACTGGAAGCAGACTCTTACCTTAACAAAGAGTGTAAAACTCAAATAATTGACCGGGATCATGAGTAAGCAGCGCAAAAAGAGTCAGACTATATTATCTTACTTTGGTGACAAAGAAGATCAAAACATACAAAAAGAAGACAACAAAGTCAAAGCTCCTACATCCAAAGCCTCCAAGAAAAATATGAATCAGTCCCAGGCCATGGAAGAGCTCAAAAAGGATTTTGAGAAGCAAGTAAGAGAAGTAGAGGAGAAACTGAGAGTGATGCAAGAAAATCATGAAAAACAAGTCAACAGCTTGCTAAAGGAGACCCAAAAAAATACTGAAGAAAATAACACCTTAAAAAATAGCCTAACTCAAATGGCAAACGAGGTCCAAAAAGCCAATGAGGAGAAGAATGCCCTAAAAAGCAAAATTGGCCAAATGGGAAAGGAAGTCCAAAAGCTTACTGAAGAAAATACCTCCTTAAAAATTAGAATAGAGCAATTGAAAGCTACTGACTTTATGAGAAATCAAGACACTGTAAAACAAATCCAAAACAATGAAAAATTAGAAAACAATGTGAAATATCTCATTGGAAAAACAACTGACCTGGAAAATAGATCCAGGAGAGAGAATTTAAAAATTATTGGACTATCTGAAAGCCATGATCAAAAAAAGAGCCTAGACATCATCTTTCAAGAAATGATCAAGGAAAACTGCCCTGATATTTTAGAACCAGAGGGCAAAATAGAAATTGAAAGAATCCACCCATCTCCTCCTGAAAGAGATCCCCAAAGGAAAACTCCTAGGAAAATTGTAGCCAAATTCCAGAGTTCCCAGGTCAAGAAGAAAATATTACAAGCAGTCAGGAAGAAACAATTCAAGTATTGTGGAAACACCATCAGGATAACACAAGATTTAGTTGCTTCTACATTAAGGGATCTCAGGGCATGGAATGTAATATTCTGGAGGGCAAAGGAGAAAGGATTACAACCAAGAATCACCTACCCAGCAAAACTGAGTATAACCCTGCAGGGGAAAAAATGGTAATTCAGTGAAATAGAGGACTTTCAAGCATTCTTGATGAAAAGACCAGAGCTGAATAGAAAATTTGATTTTCCAATACAAGACTCAAGTGGAACATGAAGAGGTAAACAGGAAAGAGAAAATCATAAGAGACTTATTAAGGTTGAACTGTTTACATTCCTGCATGGAAAGATGATATTTGTAACTCATGGGACCTTTGTCAGTATTAGGGTAGTTGGAGGGAAAAAAAATTATATATACTTATATATAAATATAGATAGATAGATAGGTAGATAGATAGATATTTAGATAGAGGGCACAGGGTGAGTTGAACATGAAGGGGTCATATCTGGAGCATAAAATTAAGGGATGAGAGAGGATTATGCTAGGAGAAGGAGAAAGGGAGAGGTAGAACGGGGTAAATTATCTCACAAAAAAAAAGAAAAGAAAAGGCTCTTACAATGGAGAGGAAATGGGGGAAGGTGAGAGGGAATGAGTGAATCTTATTCTCATAGGATTTGACTTAAGGAGGGAATAACACACACACTCAATTGGGTATGTAAATCTGTCTTACCCTACAGGAAAATGGGGGGGCGGGAAGGGGACAAGAGAGTAAGGGGATGATAGAGAAGAGGGCAGATTGGGAAAGGGAGTAATCAGAAGCAAATACTTCTGAGGAGGGACAGGGTCAAAAGAAAGAATAAAATAAATGGGGGGCAGGATAGTATTAAGGGAAATAGAGTTAGTTTTTCACAGCATGTCTACTATGGAAGTGTTTTGCATAACTGTACATATATAACCTATATTGAGTTGCTTGCCTTATCAATGAGGGTGGGTGGGGAGGGAGGAAGGGAGAAAATTTGGAACCCAAAGTTTTAAAAACACATGTTTAAAAAAAATGTTTTCATATGCAACTGGGAAATAAGAAATACAGGAAATGGGGTACAGAAATCCATCCTGCCCTACAGGAAAATTGAAGGGGAAGGGGATAAGAGAAGGGGGGGAGAGATAGAATGGAAAGCAGACTAGGGGAAGGGGTATTCAGAACACATGCCATCTTGGGGTGGGGGGAGGGGTGAAATGGGGTGAAAATTTGGAACTCAAAATCTTGTGGAAGTAATTGTTGAAAACAAAAAAAA